TATCTCTATATCTATCTCTATATCTATCTCTATATCTATCTCTATATCTATCTCTATATCTTTCTCTATATCTTTCTCTATATCTTTCTATATATCATCTATCTCTATATCTATCTCTATATCTATCTCTATATCTATCTCTATATCTATCTCTATATCTTTCTCTATATCTTTCTCTATATCTTTCTATATATCTCTATCTATATATATATATTTCTCTATCTATATATATATATTTCTTTATCTATATATATATTTATCTATCTATATATATATTTATCTATCTATATATATATATTTCTTTATCTATATATATATTTATCTATCTATATATATATTTATCTATCTATATATATATTTATATATTTATATATATCTATATATATCTATATATATCCATATATATCTATATATATTTATATATATCCATATATATCTATATATATATCTGTATATATCTATTTAAAAAATATATAAATATCTCTATATATCTATGTATATTTATATATATCTATATTTATATATATCTATATTTATATTTATATATTTATATATTACTATATATCTATATATTTCTATATAAGGTTGTTTTGGAAAATGTTTTAGCTAATTATAAATAAACATTATTGCTCCTTTTTAATCCTTTCCCCTATATTTCCTTCCTTTTTTTATTGGGAAAGGAAAAAAAATGAGAAGAAAATGATGGAAAACCAAAAAAAATATAATGAAAAACGATAAAAATATAAAGAAAATTATTTAAAACCAAAGAAAAGTCTTGGAAAACGAAAAAAAATGATGAAAAATGAAGGAAAACCAATAAAGAAGGAATAATTATTAATGAAAAATTAAGGAAAAAATAATGAAAAATTAAGGAAAAATAAAAACGATGGAAAAAAAAGGAACATTATGAAAAATCAAAGAAAAATATTGGAAAACGAGGAAAATATGAGGAAAAATCTATGAAAAACCAAGGAAAAATAATGGAAAACAAGGAAAAAAATGAGGAAATCGGGCCCACGACCAAAAAAAAATAAATTCCCAAAACAAGAAAAAGAATCCTTAAAAAAATCCGCACCCATATATATATATATTTAATTTAAATTTAATTAATTATTATTAAATATAATATCGAATTATTATTATGAAAAAAATATTATGTTGAAAAATTAAATTCGATTCGAATTATGAATATGTTTTTTAATTATATGTTTATTTGATTTTTTTTATTTTTTATTATTTAATAAAAATGAATTATATTCGTAGAAATATATATATATTTGATATATATTTTTTTATTAAATATAAATATTAATTAGAAATATTATATTGAATTTATTTTTAAAATATTAAATATATATATATAATATTATTTAAAATATATAGAAATATAGATATATTTTATATTATATTGGCATATATTATTTGTTTATTTTTCTTTAATATATTAAAATAAAATATTAAAATAATATAATATATATATATTTAATATAGATATTTTGAAATAAATATATATATATATTATGATTTTAAATATTAATATTTATGTATTTATAATTAAATATATATAAATTATATATAATTATAAATATTATATTTAAAGATTGATCAAATTTATTTATATTAAGAATATAAAATTATTTTAAAAAATTATATTTATTTATTTGATATTATATATATTTATAAATTATTTTTAATTTTTAATCCAAAAAATATTTAAAAATAAAATAATATTATTGAATATTGATGTTAATATTTATATATATTTTTGAAATATATTAGTTGTTAATTTGATATTTTATTTTTTAATTTCTTATGAATATATATATAGAAATTTATTTAAAAAAATAAATTATAAATAATCGATATATATATTCTTAATAATTATATTTATTTTTAGAAAAAAATATATTTATATATAATTTATGAATGATAATAAAATAATAATGAAAATAATAATTCTTGATATCGTAAATAATTTATATGAAATAATATTTATTTTTCTTTATGTTTTTCTTTTTCCTCATTCATATGATTTTTTTGATCAAGATGTGAAACCAAGATTTGGAAAAATGATAAAAGAAAAAAATAATAATATATGAAAATAAAAAAATAATTTGAAAGGATTTGGATTTTTTACATGATTTATATGAAATATAAAATTATTGAATATTAAATATATATATATATTTAAAAAAAATAATATATAATTATTTTTTGATATGTATAATATTTATATATATTATATTATTTAATATTTCAATTTTATATATATATTTCATTATATTCGATTAATTCATAATTATTATATATATATAAATCATATATATTAAATAAATAATAATATATGGATAATGAAATGAATTTATTATTAAATTAAATAATATTCGAATTTATAAAATAAATATATTATTTTTGGAAATTAAATTATTTAATTTAATGAATTATACTTATAAATCGGATATATATATATATTTAATAAAAATCTAATTTTAATTTCGATATTATATAATCAATATCAATATTATATTATATTCTAATATAATATATTTTAACATAATATAATTTAGAATATTCTAGCATAAAATAATATAATTATTATATATTTCAATATTGATAATTATATATATATTGATTAATTTAATAAATATATTATATATAATTAATTCAATGAATATATTAAATATATTTAATTTGATATAATATAATAATAATATAATTTCAATAAAATTAATTAATATAATAATAATTAATTCATAATTATAATTATTATTAATTCAATAATCTAATATTTTTTTCAAATAATAAAATATTAAATTTAAATTATTATATTAATTATTAAATATTCTGTATTATTGAAATATATAATAAATTATAGTTGGAAATATATCTTTAAAATTTATAATAATTTATTAATTAAAAATCTAAGAAATATATAATATTAATTTATTTTCCAAATATATAAATAATTATCAAAATATCAATTATATTTTATTAATTATTAATATATAAATTAGTCTTAATAAATTTAACAATTATTATATTAATAAATAATATATCAATATTTTATATATATATATCAAATTTATTATATAAATTTTAATTATAAATTATATATATAATATTCTTTGAAATATTCTAGGATTTAATAATTTAAAGATATTTATTTATCTATTATATATATTTTTTTATATTTATAATATTATAATTTTATTTTATAATATAATTCAAATTTAAAATATGTATATATATATTTAAATTTAATATTATATATTATATTTATATATATTTCAAAAATAATTTGATTTTTTTAATTGTATAATAATCGAAATATATATTATGTCAAAAAATTGCGATATATTTATATTATATTTAAAAAAATATATATTACATATTTATATTTTAAGTTTAAATATAGTTTATAATATATATATATATATAATTTTATTTATTTGAATTATTTATTGTTAATTCTATATATTAATTATATTATATATATTTTGTTTAAATATATAATTAAATCTAAAATTAATATTAATATTAATAATATTTAAATTTATATAATAATATAAATTAATTTATATTAAATCAAGATATGAATATTGTTCAAAATCTTGTTTCCCAAATTATCTGGAAAATGGTCATTTATTGTGGGGTCCGTATTAAATGGCTCATATATGATATGATTTCCCCTCATATATGTGAAAATATAGTTAAATTGCAAAATGCGTGAAAAAAATACTAGCGCGGAGAAAATTCCAGGATTATCAGGAAAGTCCGAATGCAATGATTTTCAAGCGTGCGATGAATTTGATGAATTGGAATTGTCTAATATTGTATTAAAGGCACCATTTGTGAGCCATCAAGCTTGAGGGAAGGCTTTAATTATAGGGCATGATCAGGAAGATTTCTGTTTGTAAGAAAAGCCGCGCGGAGCCCACACGCGCGGAATCCGCATATTTTAAATATAAAATTATATAAAAATATTTTCGAATAAATTTCATGAAATTATTCTTTAATAAATCAGAATATTTGTCATTGTCACCATATATTATTGTTCTGTATTTGCATATCTCGACCGATCTTGCTTGCATGTTGGCTACCTTTGATTGCCATAATTATTTCTCAATAAATTTATATTGTTGATTATTTAGCGTCCATCAGAGAGATCTGGGATCGAAGCAGTAGTCTGTGGGGTTTCCAAATAAATCAGAAATAGGTCAGAAATATGCAAAAAGGAATCTTTGCCCATATCCATATATCTATATATTGATTTATTTTTCCATAAATTTATTGATTGTTAATCTATTTTTATATCCAATATATATAAATAGATATCTATTTATCGATTTTAGTCTTATTGTGTTGTTGTCGCCTTCGCGAAATGAAAGAATGATGTGGATAATATCGGATATTTCTGAAAATCAAAATCGATACGAGTAGTAGTAGTAGTAGTAGTAATAGTAGTAGTAGTAGAAATAGTAGTACTAGTAATAATAATAATAATAGTAATCTTAAAAGTAGTAGTAGAAGTAGTAGTAGTAGCAGTGGGGTAGTAGTGCAGTAGTAGCAGTAGTAGCAGTAATAGTAATAATTATTGTAAAAGTAGTAGTTGTAGTAGTAGTATTACTAATAGTAGTAGTAATAGTGGTGCTAGTAGTACCAATAGGATTTATAATATTTAGAATGCGAATTTAATACTAATAATATTAGTAGTATTAGTAATATTAACACTAGTAATAATAATAAAAATAATAATAATAATAGTAATAATAGCAGTAGCAATATCAGTAGGAGTAGTAGTATCAATAATTGTAATAATAGTAATAGTAATAATAATAGTAGTAGTAGTAATAGTAGAAGTAGTAGTAATAGTAGTATTAGTAGTAGTAGTAGTAATAATAGTAATAATAGTAATAATAATAATAGTAGTAATAGTAGTAATAGTAGCAATAGCAGTAGTAATAAGAATGAATGGATAGGGTAGGTGGGGGTTGGATAATAGGCAATTGCTATATTTTGGGTATTATATAGTTGTTTCGGAATTATTTCTGAATTTTCTACATATTTTCTTTCAAAAGAAAATAATAAATAAATATAAAAATTAAAATCAATATGAGTAGTAGTCGTAGTAGTCGTACTAGTCGTAGTAGTCGTAGTAGTCGTAGTAGTCGTAGTAGTCGTAGTAGTCGTAGTAATCGTAGTAGTCGTAGTAGTCGTAGTAGTCGTAGTAGTCGTAGTAGTCGTAGTAGTCGTGGTAGTCGTAGTAGTTGTAATAGTTATAGTTATGGTCATAGTTATAGTTACAATTATAGTCATAGTTATAGTTATAATTATAGTCATAGTCGTAGTCGTAGTTGTAGTGGCAGTAGTAGTAGTAGTAGTAGTAGTGGTAGTAATAGCAATAATAATGAAAAATAATAATAGTAATAGTAATAATAATAATAAAATAATAAATATAATAAATAATCGGATGGGTGTTAGATAATTATTGCATTCTTAATATTTTTAAATTATTTTTAAGTTATTTCTGAATTATTTCTAAATTATTTCTAATATTTCCATATATTTTTTCCTAAATATATATATATATAGAAATTAAAATGAAGAAGAATAAT